ATAGCATTCGCTTCATTAAAGTAGATATTTGAACTTTTCTATAAAAGACAGATGGTACCCTTCCCGCACGAAAACGAAGTAGATACTCCAGTGCAGTAGACTACTGCAATCATACTGCAAACATGCTTCAAATCTGCTCCGATGTGGGAGCTAATTAGCATATTTGAAACATGCTTCTATCATGCTGCTAATCTACTGCATTAATGCTCCTCCTCTGTACAACCCTATGTAATTTTTGAAGTAGAGTTGCAGTAGGCTATACTGCATTTCTACTGCAAATATGCTCCACACCACTACTGCGTTTATGCTTCTTTGCTACTTCGATACTACTATATTTTCTTGCGGGTTTACTCATAATGGTAAGGCGTGTGTGGCGGCCATATAGGATTTTTTTGCAATCACAAAGCCTCTATACTATACATAGATGGTACAAATGCAGGTAATAGCAGAGGGAATCTTTATTTGATAAATGTTTGCTCATATCATGTTTGAAATAAATTCTAGATCAATGAAAAGATGATTTAATTGCAAAAAATGTTGAAATATTGGCCGCCATCTTGAATAGAGCGCCATTTTGAATCCAATTGATCAATTCCTGCTACAGATCATCAGACAGTACATATTTCCACAATGTATGGACAATAAAAAACATCTACCCTGAAACAAATTGAAAATATCAAGCATTTTTCACAATTTATGCGTTTATTGCATATTCATAAGGGATGGCGGCCATCTTGGATTTTTGGGCTCTTTCGCAATTGAGCCCATTTGTCCAATAAGCAGAGTCATAAACCTCAGATATCAGGCTATCCGACCATATATTCGAAAATTTTATATCATAAAAATTTTTTCGCCATTTTTTTAGCCTTGGCTCCCCTACTAAACCCGTTTACAAACTAAGTACAATACCTGTAAAGTCAAAAGCGGCAAAATGCTTTTTGAAAGCATTATCTACGCCAAGTCATATGTTATCCAAGTTCCATAGTATTTAAAAAATCATGAGAAAAATCGAACCTTCGACCCAGACAAAGATAATTCCCAGAACAATAAAATAAAAATGCATGGTCTTCCAGATTGTTTACTAACTCTAAATGCACCATAAGATGAACTGTCTGTTGCAGCTAGAATCCACAACATGTATGGATCCTTCACTAATCTCTCTCTCTCTCTCTCTCACCTTTGACCAACACTTTCCCTTTACATGGCGGCGGCCACGGTTAGGAGAGCAGCGAATAGAACCAACTTCATCATCTTGGCCTGAAAAGAGATGTAGTCTGCGGACTTTAGGAGAAGGACTCGGATCTTGACGGACGACGTAGTCTGTCAAAACTTAACCAAGGCAGCTATTTTATAACGTGAGAGCACTGGAGCTATCTTGATGGAGGGGTGTATCGTTAAATAACGCCTAAGCCAAAGTAAAGCAAAGGACGCATTGAATCAGCTAATGCATGTAAGTCAATCCTCTCTCTCTAATCCCTCCCTCTCAATCACACACACATAAACACACACGCACACACACTCTGTCTCTCAGTGTGTGAGTTCAAGTCAATCCTCTCTCTCTCCCCTCCCTCCCTCCCTCCCTCCCTCCTCTCTCTCTCTCACTCACTCCCAAACACACACACTCTCTCAGTGCGTGTTTTTGTGTGTTTTGCGAGAGTTCATTATCAAATAAATGCGGCTATGTTCCATTTCCACATAGGCGATGCTTTAATAAACTAGTAGAGATGAATGCTAAATCGCATACTAGCCCAATCTTTTACACATATGGGAATAAACTATCATGAATGAATTAAAGTTTGCATGTATCGAGCTTTCTTAAGTATACGGTTAAGAAGAAAATGGCCCTTTTGTTTGTTTGGTTTTATTTTTATCTTATATGCTTGAAATGAGGATTGCATAATACACTGCATTTTAAAAATTCATTCCTTTCCTGACAATATGAGCGTTTTTACGTCCCTGTGTGAAACAGAGAGAGAAAGAGAGAGAGAGAAAGAGATTTCGGAGGCGGCCGGTTTAACTGCATTTGTGCCATTTCCATCCAATTCACGTACCGCCATGAAGCTCACAATTGCATAATTGATGCCAACCCGTTTAAGCCTATCGTCTGTCATAAATTGTAGTGCTGCAATAAACAAAGTCTTTTCAGTTTACCCCAAGCACTTTTTATCTAATGAAACACTCGTAAAATCTATCATGTCCTGACCTGAATGACTTGCCACCTTTGTGATAAGAAGACAGACAAGATATTCTTTTACGTTATTTTCATTGGGTATGGTTTATTTAGCAGCATTCATCAAGTTCATTACCATTGGTTCGTTACTACCAGTTGCTTTTGAAAAAAAAAAGAAAAAAGGAAATATGTTTGCTAAGATGAAATAGTCTCTTTTCTGAGACCTATGGAAAATTACCACTCAACTGCTTCTCCTTGACAGTATGTTATTGGAAATCTCCTTTTCTTGTCACAATGAAGTAAGGGGGCGTTTGGGCACATTTTGTTTCCTTCTCAAATTTCATTAGAATTCGAAGAGGGACAACAAAGGTATGCAGCGGTGACATAAGTGGGAATTTTGGAGGTCTCTTTGCATTTTAAACCATGTATGAGGATTTCAGAAATCACACCCATCTGTTGAAAAATTATATTTTGGTCAGTGATTTGGACGGCATGTTTTATCTAAGTGTGTGTGTGTATGTGTGTATATGTGTGTGTGTGTGTGTGTGTGTGTGGGAGAGAGAAAGAGAGAGACAGATTGAAGTATCCACACTTACCCATCAAGTTCAGGTGATCATTCTGATTCAATTTACATGTATAAAAGAATGACTACAGGCGGACGCTCAATGCACGTGTAGTCAGCGGGAGCGCTGGACCTATCTTGAAGGAGGGAAGAGTCGTTAAATAACGCCTCTGTTAAATTAAAGCATATTATGCGTTAAAGTTTCTGCTAATTAAGAATAACTGTTTATACATTTTACACAACTGAAGATAGAAACGCTTATCCACCTAATGTTTGTGATGATGGAATTGTTATAACGCATGCAAGTCAATCCTCCCTCTCCACTCCCCCCTCTCCCTCCTTTTCTATCTCTCTCTCTCGTCCCTCCCTCTCAATCACACACACATAAACACGCACACACACACACACACACACACACACACACTCTGTCTCTCAGTGTGTTTTTTTGTGTTTTTTGCGAGAGTTCATTATCAAATAAATGCTGCTACGTTCCATTTCCACATAGGCGATGTTTTAACAAACTAGTAGAGATGAATGTTAAATTGCATACTAGCCCAATCTTTTACACATATAGGAATAAACTATCATGAATGAATAAGTTTCCATGTATTGAGCTTTCTTAAGAATGCGGTTACGAAGAAAATGGCCCTTTTATTTGTTTCGTTTTATTTTTATCTTATATTCTTGAAATGAGGATTGCATAATGCACTGCTTTTTAAAAATTCATTCCTTTCCTGACAGTATGAGCGTTTTTACGTCCTGGAGGCGTCTGGTTCAACTGCATTTGTGCCATTTCCATCCAATTCACGTACCGCCATGAAGCTCACAATTACATAATTGATGCCAACCCGTTTAAGCCTATCGTCTGTCATAAATTGTAGTGCTGCAATAAACAAAGTCTTTCATTTTACCCCAAGCACTTTTTATGTAATGAAACATCGTAAAATTTGTCGTGCCCTGACTTGAATGTAAGACCACCTTTGTGATGAGAAGACAAACAAGATATTTTTTTACGTTTTTTTCATTAAGTATTGTTTATTTAGCAGCAATCATCAAGTTCATTAGCTGCTTGAAATGAATGCATTGGTTCGTTACTATCAGTTGCTTATGAAAAAAACATGTAGATGTGTTTGATAAAGTAAAATAGTCTCTTTTCTGAGACCTATTGAAAATTACTTCTCAACTGCTTCTTCTTTGGCAGCATTTTATTTAAAGTCTCCTTTTCTTGTAACAATGAAGTAAGGCGGCGTTTGGGCACATTTAGTTCCCTTCTTAAATTTCTTTAGTATTCGTAGAAGGACAACTAAGGTATGCAGCGGTGACTTAAGTGGGGCTTTTGAAGGTCTCTTTGCATTTTAAGACATGTATGAAGATTTCAGAAAGTTTACCCATCTGTTGAAAAATTACATTTTTTGTTGATGGTTTGGACGGCATGTTTTATTTAAGTGTTTGCGTGTGTGTGTGTGCTTGAGAGTGATAGAAAGAGAGACTGATTGAAGTTACCACCCTAATCCATCAGGTTCAGGTACCAGTATGCCTTAAAGCAGACAAGCACATCTTACTGGCACCTGTTATGTTTGTCCATCAACTGTAACATAAAAGTTCTTTTAAGTCACCCAAGGCAGGGAATTTTTTTCTAATGAAAAGGTCGTAAAATATAGTGTCCTAACCTGCTGTAACTTTTACTCAGAATTAATAATGAGGTTAGACTTGCCACCGGTGTTACAAGGGGAAAAATTGGTGTTTCTTTTCCATTTTTCATTTCTGGCATTATTTATTTATCAGTAGAAATCGCAGTTTATAATTTGTTTTATGAATGTCATAGGTACGCTGGTTTGTTGCATAGTTTTTTGTTTAAATCGTTAAGATATGAATTCATAACCAAACGCTTTGTAAACTTTGTTATAATTCAAAAACCGAGAAAAAGGCCACTTTCAAACGAATATTTTGACTGATGTATCTTATATTTGCATCAAAGAAGTAAGGCAAGCCTGTTAACAGTAGTTTGGATATGTTTCTACCTTATGTCTTTATTTCTCTTGTAATAAGCACTGATTGTTTATAAATCATGCATAATTGTAGCAGTTTGACGATGCGTTGCCAACTGAAACGCAAAAAAAAAAAAAAAAAAAAATGATAATTTATTCCGTATGCGTCTTACATCAAATTTACCATCCCGACCTTCGTCACAAATATCTAAAGGCAAAATACTGGGTTCTGAAAAGATAATTATTACAAATTCCTTGTGTGTCGGGACTGTATAAAATGGTTGCCTTGGTCCAGTTTTGACAGACTTCGACTTCAATCAAGCTCCAAGTCACACTTCAACTGTAAGCAGACGACAGCTCTTTTGCCGCCAAGATGATGAAGCTGATTCTACTCGCTGCTCTCGTGGCCGTGACAGCCGCCAATTGGTGAGTCTCTCGGAGTAAAGGGTGTGTTAGTGTGTGTGTTAGTGTGTGTGTGTGAGAGAGAGATAGGTTTACTACGGTATCATTGTTTGTTTCGTGATTTAATATTATTAACATTCAATTCATCTAACAGTGCAATTGGAATTTAAAAAGGGGTTGACCCGGACAGTCTGTTTGCTTTTAAAAGCTGTATATGTAATTGTAACTGTAGAAATTACCTAGCTTACCTTTGTTTAGAACCAAGTTACTGTTGTGGTTTATTTTGTTCAGCGCTCGAGAATCGAGACAAAGCAAGCGAAGAAATGATCATTTTATACAGAAAATGATACGATCAGCCTTTACTGCACGTCTAATAAGCAGAGTGCCACCGAAGACTGGCAGACTGACAGGCGACGCTTTCTTCTTTCATATTGATAATGTTATCCCAATGAAATTGAAAAGTTATATGTCTTTTTATTTTGTTAAAGGACACCTGATGAGTTTCAACTAGGCGGATATGGAAATGGCGACAACAGCTATTATGGTCAAAGGTACGGATATGGTGACCGCAACGGATATCACCTGAACGGATACAACAGCAACGGAGGAGGTTATGGATACAAAGGTGCTGGATACGGAAAGCCTCAATATGGAGGAAAGAAGGGGTTAATTTCCCCATGGGGGTTTTTGTGGTAAGATATCGCTTTATTATCACATTTTACAGTTTGTTCCACGTTTGTTAAGTGGAAATATTCAGTCTAATACATGTTTTCCTAATAGCTAGTTAAGGCTAGTCAGAAAATTTAAAAAAAATGAAAAAAGTTTTTTTTTTCATTATTTTTATACAGTCTATAAAAATGACATACTGTATAGACAAATACCTATCCATTACCGTTTTCAATAGGTCCAAATGTGTTCAATTGTAAATTGTAAAAAAAGCTCCGAGTTGGTAGGAGTCAGCACAGTCTCCGGCTTCATAGTCTTGATAGTCTCCGCCAATAAGTACAACAAAGGGTTAAAAGCACTGATCTGTATTGATCTGAAGGAAGAGACTTAAGACAATTGTCTAGTCATTAAGTCATGTATTGGTCCGTTTTTAATAACAACCGTGACCCGTACCGTGTCTAAATGACATTATCAATCATTTTTTTTTATATTCCAGAAACAGATGCTGCGGATAACCTTTATTCTGCAGTGTGCACAGCCGGATATGACGACATCAACCACGTGACCCATACCAAACAGTTCCTTGCTCATATCATTCTAAATATCTTTACTGCTTTTGCCCATAAATAGACCGGTGCAATTTGGAAACGTATTCTGTATTACATGTATGAAATTTTTCCTCGCTTATGCAATAAAATATGTGATGAAGATGTCATTTTGTTTTTAATCTTTGTTAACCAATATAGATTGTAAATGTCCATGGGAATTATAAGCGTTTTTGTTTTTTATAAGCGTTTATTTATTTATTTAAAAGGTCACATATACAGATCATATTTAAAACCCCATCACAGAAATCCAAAATGAAATGAATGGCAACGTTCCTCATCAGAAACTGAACCTACCCTCTTCGAAGTACACAATGTAAATGCAAGAGTTTTTGAAATAAGGAATCTATAAATAACTGTTTCCGCATCAAAAAGACCCACTGAAGGCACTGTATATTTACATATGTAAGACAGGAACGGCTTATTTTTCTTAACTAAAATACCAAACTTCTAAGTTTTGCCATGGCCTGGTGAAATACGGAGACACTCGAATGTGTTTTTATTAAAAAATCACCTTAACTGATTTTATTCTGAGTACTTGTGAAAATAAAAAGAAAGTTATAGTTTACCCATAGTACAAGCACGTTAAGAGAACATGTATGAATTTGTTATTTAATTACCAGAAGACACCACGACTAAATGTATTTCTTAGAAGACAAAGCATTATTCAAACTGAGGCTTAATTAATAATGGCACCAATATCAAGCACGGATCGTTATGGCCTACGCCATGGAAGACACAGTGTATGCCTTTGCAATTGACTATATATACTTTCTTACAAGATTATCTGAAGAAAGTAAACTTTACATGTGGTATTGAAAACCTACCAATCACAATAAAACACCCGAAGTTTCCTCCAAATAACAATAAAAAAGAATATTCTTTTATGCCGTTTCCTTTGCGTAGGTCTGCGTTAGTTATCTGAGTAGTTATCTAGTTATGTATTCTGACGTTGTTTACTATAACACAATCATCAGTGTCATACAAAGAAAGTGCCAAGAACATGCCGGAAATCTTTATNTGGGTGGCGGCCATCTTGGATTTTTGGGCTCTTTCGCAATTGAGCCCATTTGTCCAATAAGCAGAGTCATAAACCTCAGATATCAGGCTATCCGACCATATATTCGAAAATTTTATATCATAAAAATTTTTTCGCCATTTTTTTAGCCTTGGCTCCCCTACTAAACCCGTTTACAAACTAAGTACAATACCTGTAAAGTCAAAAGCGGCAAAATGCTTTTTGAAAGCATTATCTACGCCAAGTCATATGTTATCCAAGTTCCATAGTATTTAAAAAATCATGAGAAAAATCGAACCTTCGACCCAGACAAAGATGATTCCCAGAACAATAAAATAAAAATGCATGGTCTTCCAGATTGTTTACTAACACTAAATGCACCATAAGATGAACTGTCTGTTGCAGCTAGAATCCACAACATGTATGGATCCTTCACTAATCTCTCTCTCTCTCTCTCTCTCTCTCTCTCTCTCTCTCTCTCTCTCACCTTTGACCAACACTTTCCCTTTACATGGCGGCGGCCACGGTTAGGAGAGCAGCGAATAGAACCAACTTCATCATCTTGGCCTGAAAAGAGATGTAGTCTGCGGACTTTAGGAGAAGGACTCGGATCTTGACGGACGACGTAGTCTGTCAAAACTTAACCAAGGCAGCTATTTTATAACGTGAGAGCACTGGAGCTATCTTGATGGAGGGGTGTATCGTTAAATAACGCCTAAGCCAAAGTAAAGCAAAGGACGCATTGAATCAGCTAATGCATGTAAGTCAATCCTCTCTCTCTAATCCCTCCCTCTCAATCACACACACATAAACACGCACACACACTCTGTCTCTCAGTGTGTGAGTTCAAGTCAATCCCCTCTCTCTCCCCTCCCTCCCTCCCTCCCTCCCTCTCTCTCTCTCACTCACTCCCAAACACACACACTCTCTCAGTGCGTGTTTTTGTGTGTTTTGCGAGAGTTCATTATCAAATAAATGCGGCTATGTTCCATTTCCACATAGGCGATGCTTTAATAAACTAGTAGAGATGAATGCTAAATCGCATACTAGCCCAATCTTTTACACATATGGGAATAAACTATCATGAATGAATTAAAGTTTGCATGTATCGAGCTTTCTTAAGTATACAGTTAAGAAGAAAATATCCCTTTTGTTTGTTTGGTTTTATTTTTATCTTATATGCTTGAAATGAGGATTGCATAATACACTGCATTTTAAAAATTCATTCCTTTCCTGACAATATGAGCGTTTTTACGTCCCTGTGTGAAAGGTGAGAGAGAGTGAGAGAGAGAGAGAGAGAGATTTCGGAGGCGGCCGGTTTAACTGCATTTGTGCCATTTCCATCCAATTCACGTACCGCCATGAAGCTCACAATTGCATAATTGATGCCAACCCGTTTAAGCCTATCGTCTGTCATAAATTGTAGTGCTGCAATAAAAAAAGTCTTTTCAGTTTACCCCAAGCACTTTTATCTAATGAAACACTCGTAAAAATGGTTGTGCTCTGACCTGAATGACTTGCAACCTTTGTGATAAGAAGACAGACAAGTTATTCTTTTTACGTTATTTTCATTGGGTATTGTTTATTTAGCAGCATTCATCATGTTCATTAGCATTGGTTCGTTACTACCAGCTGCTTTTGAAAAAAAAAAAGAAAAAAGGAAATAAGTTTGCTAAGATGAAATAGTATCTTTTCTGAGACCTGGAAAATTACCACTCAACTGCTTCTCCTTGACAGTATGTTATTGGAAATCTCCTTTTCTTGTAACAATGAAGTAATGCAGCGTTTGGGCACATTTTGTTTCCTTCTCAAATTTCATTAGAATTCGAAGAGGGACAACAAAGGTATGCAGCGGTGACATAAGTGGGAATTTTGGAGGTCTCTTTGCATTTTAAACCATGTATGAGGATTTCAGAAATCACACCCATCTGTTGAAAAATTATATTTTGGTCAGTGATTTGGACGGCATGTTTTATCTAAGTGTGTGTGTGTGTGTGTGTGTGTGTGTGTGTGTAGAGGTGAATGAATCTTAATCGCATACCAGCCTATCTATCACACATATGGGAATAAACTATCGGCTATAAAAAAATGTCCCTTTTGTTTGTTTGGTTTTATCTTTATCTCATATGCTTGGAATGAGGATTGCATAATACACTGCATTAAAAAAGAAAACATTCCTGACAATATGAACGTTTTTTTTACGTCCCTGTGTGTTTGTGTGTGTGTGTGTGTGTGTGAGAGAGAGAGAGAGAGAGAGAGAGAGAGACTGATTGAAGTCACCACACTTATCCATCAAGTTCAGGTACCAGTATGCCTTAAAGCTGACACGCACATCTTATTGGCACCAACCCTGTTATGTAAGTCTGTAACATAAAAGTTCTTTTAAATCCACCCGAGGCAGGGAATTATTATCTAATGAAAAGGTAGTAAAATATAGTGTCTTAACCTGTTGTAACTTCTCACCAGAATTAATAATAAAGCTAGTCTTGCCATCGTTGTAACGAGGAGACAGATTGGTGTTTTTCTTGATTTCCAGTATTGGTATTATTCATCTATCAGCAGAAATTGCAGTTTATCATTTGCTAGATGAATGTCATGGATACGCGGGTTTGTTGCATGGTTCTGAGTTTAAAACATCATGACTTTAATTTATAACAAAACGCTTTATCAACTCTGTCATAATTTAAAGACCGACAAAATATTACTTTTAAATTAAATTTTGACTGCCGTATTTTACAATACCGAAAAAGGAGTAAAGCATAACTGCTAAGAGCAGTTTGGGCATTTTTCTACCTTAGTCTTCATTTTGCTCTTGATTTTTACCATTGTAATAAGCACTGACTGCTTAAAAATAGGAATAATTAAATTTGGCAGTTTGATTATGCGTTGCGAACATGATTATTCCGTATGTGTCTTATATCTAATTAACATCCAGACATTTGTCACAAATAGCTTAAGGCAAACTACTGAAGGGCTAATAATTACCAAATCGTTTTGTGTTTCAGGTCGGTATAAAAAGATTGACTTGGTCCAGTTTTGACAGACTTCGACTTCAACCAAGCTCCAAGTCACATTTCAACAGTAGGCAGACGACAGTTCTTTCCGCCAAGATGATGAAGCTGATTCTACTCGCTGCTCTCGTGGCCGTGACAGCCGCCAATTGGTGGGACTCTGGGAGTAAAAGGTGTGTGTGTGTGTGTGTGTGTGTGTGTGTGTGTGTGTGTGTGTATATGTGTGTGTGTGTGTGAGAGAGAGAGAGAAAGAGATTTACTACGGTATCATTGCTTGTTTCGTGATTTAATCTTATTTACATTCAGTTCATCTAACAGTGCAATTGGAATTAAAAAGGGGGTTGATCCGGACAGTCTGTTTTCTTTTAATATGTAGCTGTTGAAATTGCCTAGCTAACCTTTGTTTAGAACCAAGTTACTGTTGTGGTTTCATTTTGTTCAGCGCTCTAGAATCGAGACAAAACAAGGGAAGAAATGATCATTTTATAGAGAAAATGATACGCTCAGCCTTTACTGCACGTCTAATAAGCAGAGTGCCACTGAAGACTGGCAGACTGACAGGCGACGTTTTCTTCTTTCATATTGATAATTTTGTCCCAATGAAATTGAAAAGATATATGTCTTTTTTTATTTTGTAAAAGGACTCACTATGGATATCAACCAGACGGATATGGAAATGGCTACAACAGCTACATGAATTATGACCATGGGTACGGATATGGAGGCTATGGATACAAAGGTGCTGGATACGGAAAGCCTCAATACGGAGGAAAGAAGGGATCATATACCCCATGGCAATATTAGTAGTAAGATTTCGTTTTCATTCACATTTTACAGTTTATTCACGATTGTGTAATTCAGCTTAATACATGTAAACTTCAGCTTACTACATGTTTCCTAATAGCTAGTTAAAACTAGTCAGAAAATAAAAAAAGATGATAAACGAGTTTTAATTAACAGTCTGTAAATATGATATAACTTGCAATGGTCGTCCGTATGTTAAAACCGAACCGACCTATTCTGTATCATTTATCTGAATTGTGCTCGAGTCAAGATCCAAATGTGTTCCACCAATCTTGTAAAAAAAGCTCCAAGTTGGCAGGTGTCGACACAGTCTCCTTCTTCATAGTCTTGATAGTCTCCGCCAATAAGTACAACAAAAGGTTAAAAGCATTGAACTGTATTGATCTGAAGGAAGAGACTTTAGACAATTGTCTAGTCATTAAGTCATGTATTGGTCCGTTTTTAATAGCAACCGTGACCCGCACCGTGTCTAAATGACATTATCGATCATTTTTTTGTATATTCCAGAAACAGATGCTGCGGATAACCTTTATTCTGCAGTGTGCACAGCCGGATATGACGATATCCACCACGTGACCCATACCAAACAGATCCTTGCTCATATCATTCTAAATATCTTTACTGCTTTTGCCCATAAATAGACCGGTGCAATTTGGAAACATATTCTGTATTACATGTATGAAATTTTTCAACGCTTATGCAATAAAATATGTGATGAAGATGTCATTTTGTTTTTAGTCTTTTTAAACCAATATAGATTGTAAATGTCCATGGGAATTATGAGCGTTTTTATTTAAGAGAATATTTATTTAAAAGGTCACATAAACAGGGATCATATTTAAAAGTCCATTACAGCAATCCACAGAAATGTGTATCATAATCGTGTCTGTTGTTTCTCTTGCATGTCTCGCGATTAAACATGTATCTGCAACATGGTACAGCCGTGTTTTAAAGACATGTTGATGTTAATGACAAAAAAACAGGGGTTTGACAACCACTTTAGACAACCACTTTCGTCAAGAGAACTGTTGTATACTATTTCTTTAAAATATGCCAACACATGCCATGTAAGCGTTGGCCCTTTTCTCGAGGCAACGTTCCTCATCAGAAACAGAACCTCCCTCTTTGAAGTACACATTGTAAATGCCAGAGTTTTTGTAATAAGGACTCTATAAATAACTGTTTCCGCATCAAAGAGACCAACTGAAGACCTTGTATTTACATATGTAAAACAGAATAGACTTATTTTTCTTAACTAAAATACCAAGCTTTTAAGTTCATGGCCTGGCGAAATACAGAGACACTCGAATGTGTTTTTTTATTAAAAATTCACCTTCACTGATTTTATTCTAAATTCTTGTAAAAGTTAAAAGAAAGTTATCCCAGCAGGCAAACGACATTGATTCTACGTTGAATCAACGTTAATCCACAAAAGTTAACGTTGATTAAACGGTGAATCAATGTCGTTTGTCTGCTAGGTTATATTTTACCCATAGTACAAGCACGTTAAGAAAACATGTTTGAATTAATTATTTAATTACCAGAAGACACCACGACTAAATGTATTTCTTAGAAGACAAAGCATTATTCAAACTGACGCTTAATTAATAATGGCACCACTATCACGGATCGTTATGGCCTACGTCAAGGAAGACACAGTGTATGCTTTTGCAATTGTCTTTATATACTTTCCTACAAGATTCTCTTAAGAAAGTAAACTTTACATGCGGTATTGAAAACTTACCAATCACAATAAAACACCCGAAGTTTCCTCCAAATAACAATAAAAAAGAATAAACTTTTATGCCGTTTCATTTACGTAGGTCTGCGTTAGTTCTCTGAGTGGTTATCTAGTTATGTATTTTGACATTGTTTACTATAACACAATTATCAGTGTCATACAAAGAAAGTGCCAAGAGCATGCCTGATACTCTTTATAAACACGCATGGTAGTATTTGGTGATAGATTGTGACTGGTGTGCTAGGAAGCATTGTGGGTAGTATTTGGAGATAAATTGTTACTGATGACCTTGGGAGCAATGTTGGTAGTATTTGGTGATAGATTGTGACTGGTGTGCTCGGAAGCAATGTGGGTAGTATTTGGTGATAGATTGTGACTGGTGTGCTCGGAAGCAATGTGGGTAGTATTTGGTGATAGATTGTGACTGGTGTGCTCGGAAGCAATGTTGGTAGTATTTGGTAATAGATTGTGACTGGTGTGCTCGGAAGCAATGTGGGTAGTATTTGGTGATAGATTGTGACTGGTGTAATGGGAAGCATTGTAGGTATTAATTGGTGATAGATTGTGACTGTTGATTTCCGGAAGCAATAAAAATATCAGATAATTCTTTTCGAAATAGAACTCCCATAGTTTAATTAGAGAATCACAAACAGATGGCCGTCCTTTAAAATATTTGCAGAATTGGCCCTCTATGTAAGGTGTCACAGTTTCAGACTTGTCTAGAAATAGAGAAACAACACTAACGATAAACGGCTGATGTTTTTTTTATTACCTTATTATATCATCTTTTTATATCATCGAATTTTCAAAAGACTTTCTATTTGGAAGGATAACTACGTGCGCGTTACAATGCTCAAAGGTGGCCCACTGTCAGATACTACGTTAATTTCACTGTCTTTGTCTCGTGTATACGGTTAGTCATTTATTATAAGCCGTCTATTTTAGCTTAAACAAATATTGGATATCGTATAGACTTCTGCACGTTGAACAGCCACGTCAAAGATTTTCACATTTTCCTTTGTGTTTGGCTCACTAAGAATATCCATCCCTTTAATACTAACACATCTCATGGTATTTTACATTTCTTTTACATCGTGCTTCAGTCAAATATCATTTAACTAAAAGTAAAGACCAAGTGAAAAAATTGTGGCACTTAATGAGGATACCGTTATCAACAAAGGTTAAATTAATTCACTTGAAAGTAGGGGGTGTGGATTAAGATTGTGAGGAACGCTGCTAGATAAACAGAACAGTTACACTGTGCGGAACCAACTCAAAATATAAATAACAAAGCTAATATGAACATAAAGACTAACGATGAGAATAGTTCTGAATAAATTTGTTTTGAAATTCTCCATAAAGTCAAACTACCGTGACTACAGCTCCGCCATAAACACGAGCCCATTTTTGAGAGAATGCTGATGGCTTGTGAAGTCCTTATATTATTTTTCAGTTGTGGCACAATCTCTATGATAAACAACGTACTTAGTTAGGTTATTGAAGTTATTTTAGAACCCGTAATTGTATGTGTTACCTCATACACGAGTTAAAGTCGGATTGATTTACATATATATGAGCATCAACATATTTATGTCTTTAACTTTTGTCAATCGTTTTCATTGATGTAGGAGTCAAAACAGAGACTATTTGGGACAGGTTTTATGCTTTATTTCTTAGGCAATGACAAACATTTTGAAGATAAATAGGTCCAGACTAAGTTTCGAAATTGCATCAGTCTATTCACTCGGAAAAAGTCTTCCAAGCATTTGGTAGTATATGTGAGAGCAACTGTAAAGTANGTGAGAGAGAGAGAGAGAAAGAGATTTACTACGGTATCATTGCTTGTTTCGTGATTTAATCTTATTTACATTCAGTTCATCTAACAGTGCAATTGGAATTAAAAAGGGGGTTGATCCGGACAGTCTGTTTTCTTTTAATAAGTAGCTGTTGAAATTGCCTAGCTAACTTTTGTTTAGAACCAAGTTACTGTTGTGGTTTCATTTTGTTCAGCGCTCGAGAATCGAGACAAAACAAGGGAAGAAATGATCATTTTATAGAGAAAATGATACGCTCAGCCTTTACTGCACGTCTAATAAGCAGAGTGCCACTGAAGACTGGCAGACTGACAGGCGACGTTTTCTTCTTTCATATTGATAATTTTGTCCCAATGAAATTGAAAAGATATATGTCTTTTTTTATTTTGTAAAAGGACTCACTATGGATATCAACCCGGCGGATATGGAAATGGCTACAGCAGCTACATGAATTATGACCATGGGTACGGATATGGCGGCTATGGATACAAAGGTGCTGGATACGGAAAGCCTCAATACGGAGGAAAGAAGGGATCATATACCCCATGGCAATATTAGTGGTAAGATTTCGTTTTCATTCACATTTTACAGTTTATTCACGATTGTGTAATTGAGCTTAATACATGTAAACTTCAGCTTACTACATGTTTCCTAATAGCTAGTTAAAACTAGTCAGAAAATAAAAAAAGATGATAAACGAGTTTTAATTAACAGTCTGTAAATATGATATAACTTGCAATGGTCGTCCGTATGTTAAAACCGAACCGACCTATTCTGTATCATTTATCTGAATTGTGCTCGAGTCAAGATCCAAATGTGTTCCACCAACCTTGTCGACACAGTCTCCTTCTTCATATAGTCTTGATAGTCTCCGCCAATAAGTACAACAAAGGGTTAAAAGCACTGAATTGTATTGATCTGAAGGAAGAGACTTTAGACAATTGTCTAGTCATTAATTCATGTATTGGTCCGTTTTTTTATTAGCAACCGTTACATTATCGATCTTTTTTTTGGTATATTCCAGAAACAGATGCTGCGGATAACCTTTATTCTGCAGTGTGCACAGCCGGATATGACGACATCCACCACGTGACCCATACCAAACAGATCCTTGCTCATATCATTCTAAATATCTTTACTGCTTTTGCCCATAAATAGACCGGTGCAATTTGGAAACATATTCTGTATTACATGTATGAAATTTTTCAACGCTTATGCAATAAAATATGTGATGAAGATGTCATTTTGTTTTTAGTCTTTTTAAACCAATATAGATTGTAAATGTCCATGGGAATTATAAGCGTTTTTTTAAGAGAATCTTTATTTAAAAGGTCACATAAACAGGGATCATATTTAAAAGCCCATTACAGCAATCCACAGAAATGTGTATCATAATCGTGTCTGTTGTTTCTCTTGCATGTCTCGCGATTAAACATGTATCTGCAACATGGTACAGCCGTGTTTTAAAGACATGTTGATGTTAATGACAAAAAAACAGGGGTTTAACAACCACTTTAGACAACCACTTTCGTCAAGAGAACTGTTGTATACTATTTCTTTAAAATATGCCAACACATGCCATGTAAGCGTTGGCCCTTTTCTCGAGGCAACGTTCCTCATCAGAAACAGAACCTCCCTCTTTGAAGTACACATTGTAAATGCCAGAGTTTTTGTAATAAGGACTCTATAAATAACTGTTTCCGCATCAAAGAGACCAACTGAAGACCTTGTATTTACATATGTAAAACAGAATAGACTTATTTTTCTTAACTAAAATACCAAGCTTCTAAGTTCATGGCCTGGCGAAATACAGAGACACTCGAATGTGTTTTTTTATTAAAAATTCACCTTCACTGATTTTATTCTAAATGCTTGTTAAAGTTAAAAGAAAGTTATCCCAGCAGGCAAACGACATTGATTCTACGTTGAATCAACGTTAATCCACAAAAATTAACGTTGATTAAACGGTGAATCAATGTCGTTTGTCTGCTAGGTTATATTTTACCCATAGTACAAGCACGTTAAGAAAACATGTTTGAATTAATTATTTAATTACCAGAAGACACCACGACTAAATGTATTTCTTAGAAGACAAAGCATTATTCAAACTGACGCTTAATTAATAATGGCACCACTATCACGGATCGTTATGGCCTACGTCAAGGAAGACACAGTGTATGCTTTTGCAATTGTCTTTATATACTTTCTTACAAGATTCTCTTAAGAAAGTAAACTTTACACGCGGTATTGAAAACTTACCAATCACAATAAAACACCCGAAGTTTCCTCCAAATAACAATAAAAAAGAATAAACTTTTATGCCGTTTCATTTACGTAGGTCTGCGTTAGTTCTCTGAGTGGTTATCTAGTTATGTATTTTGACATTGTTTACTATAACACAATTATCAGTGTCATACAAAGAAAGTGCCAAGAGCATGCCTGATACTCTTTATAAACACGCATGGTAGTATTTGGTGATAGATTGTGACTGGTGTGCTCGGAAGCATTGTGGGTAGTATTTGGAGATAAATTGTTACTGGTGACCTTGGGAGCAATATTGGTAGTATTTGGTGATAGATTGTGACTGGTGTGCTCGGAAGCAATGTGGGTAGTATTTGGTGATAGATTGTGACTGGTGTAATGGGAAGCATTGTAGGTATTAATTGAAGATAGATTGTGACTGTTGATTTCCGGAAGCAATAAAAATATCGGATAATTCTTTTCGAAATAGAACTCCCATAGTTTAATTAGAGAATCACAAACAGATGGCCGTCCTTTAAAATATTTGCAGAATTGACCCTCTATGTAAGGTGTCACAGTTTCAGACTTGTCTAGAAATAGAGAAACAACACTAACGATAAACGGCTGATGTTTTTTTTATTACCTCATTATATCATCTTTTTATATCATCGAATTTTCAAAAGACTTTCTATTTGGAAGGATAACTACGTGCGCGTTACAATGCTCAAAGGTGGCCCACTGTCAGATACTACGTTAATTTCACTGTCTTTATGTCGTGTATACGGTTAGTCATTTATTATAAGCCGTCTATTTTAGCTTAAACAAATATTGGATATCGTATAGACTTCTGAACGTTGAACAGCCACGTCAAAGATTTTCATATTTTCCTTTGTGTTTGGCTCACTAAGAATATCCATCCCTTTAATACTAGCACATCTCATGGTATTTTACATTTCGTTTACATCGTGCTTCAGTCAAATATCATTTAACTAAAAGTAAAGACCAAGTGAAAAAATTGTGGCACTTAATGAGGATACCGTTATCAACAAAGGTTAAATTAATTCACTTGAAAGTAGGGGGTGTGGATTAAGATTGTGAGGAACGCTGCTAGATAAACAGAACAGTTACACTGTGCGGAACCAACTCAAAATATAAATAACAAAGCTAATATGAACATAAAGACTGACGATGAGAATAGTTCTGAATAAATTTGTTTTGAAATTCTCCATAAAGTCAAACTACCGTGACTACAGCTCCACCATAAACACGAGCCCATCTTTGAGAGAATGCTGATGGCTTGTGAAGTCCTTATATTATTTTTCAGTTGTGGCACAATCTCTATGATAAACAACGTACTTAGTTAGGTTATTGAAGTTATTTTAGAACCCGTAATTGTATGTGTTACCTCATACACGAGTTAAAGTCGGATTGATTTACATATATATGAGCATCAACATGTTTATGTCCTTAACGTTTGTCAATCGTTTTCATCGATGTAAGAGTCAAAACAGAGACTATTTGGGGCAGGTTTTATGCTTTATTTCTTAGGCAATGACAAAAACTTTGAAGATAAATTGGTCCAGACTAAGTTTCGAAATTGCATCAGTCAATTCACTCGGAAAAATTCTTCCAAGCATTTGGTAGTATATGTGAGAGCAATTGTAAAGCACAAATCACACGGCTGGTGTCGTCATATCCTTCGCTGAACGCTGCAGAGTGAAGGACAGGTGCATTTTCAGTGCCTGGAATTAAAAGAAAACTTCGTTTAGATGGTCATAGAAGAAAACGACAGCTATTTTGTGTTAATTATCATTTAACACAGATTGTATTATATGATACCATAAGCAATAGTCCTCCCTGCAAAATTTGTCAAATATACATGTATTTGTATGTACACATACCAGTATGTGCAATCACCTCTTGTAGTTAGGGCCTATATCTTCAGTTATTCAAACACAAACACGTGTATAAGTATGTCTAACATAACACTTGCAGCAAACATATGTAATGCTATTAAAAAACGCAAAGAGTACTGAGAAGTTATTCATTCCTTTGTCGTCTTTCTATAGTAATGGGAACAATTATTCTGC